TCAGCTGCGGGAGCTTGCAGCCCTGTGCGCACTGTACAAGTCTTGAGTTTGGTGCTTTCCCGGATCCCCCTGCCACATCCTCCAGCTGAGCCCCTCCAAGCAAGACGTACTGGCCCACAGCCGCACTGTGCTGCTGAGGCCACAGACACAAGCGGAGTCACATCAGCAGTGAGATTCCTCTGCCTTCAGCATCCAAGCTGGGCGGGAGTGGGACCATTGCAGGGAAGCCTGGGGTGATTACTGCTGTCAGAAAGGGATAGGAGGAAAGCCAGTCGCCAAGAGAATGGTGCCAGCAGGGACAAGAGGATGTGAGAACCCTGCATATTCTCCCCTGAGAAACAGCAGAAACCTCTAGCCAAAAGGAGTTCAAACCCCTCCAGCCCAGGCACCAGGAAGTAAAGAGAGAAAAGATAAATGCAGCAGGTTCTTCTTTTTTCTTAGCTTATGTATCTTGCCTCTCCCATGCCCCAGCTCATGTTCCCACCATGACTCTGTCCCACTCTACGTCATCTCCATGCCAGGGACTGTTGGCACACACAGTGCCTGGCCCGTAGGGCTCAGCAAACCATGCAGTGCCAGCCTTGGGGAAGTCCCTGGCTCGGAAGTATGCTGTGGTTTTTAATCACACCATTTGCTTCCTTTTTCTTCTGAACGAGTTGTCATGTGAGCCCTGGTGCTAGTTTTGTCCCCTCTCTCCAAGGCAGCCCAGTGGAGGCTAATTCTTGGGGCTGCTCGATATGGCCAGGTCTGGCAGGGAGCAGGTCTGCACACTGGGTGACTTCACCCAGCCTCTGTCCTAAAAAACAAAGGCCAAGCAGGAAGGACACTGCTTCCTGAAGGCCTGAAGGCAGTGAAGGGCGAAAATTTCTCTTGCGGGCTGCAATATCCAAGGCCAGATGACCTGTGTGCTCATGAGAGCTAGCCTGGAGCTCTCTAGCATCCACAGAAAGGCAATCAGTTGGGAAGGCCCAGAGCAGCACTGCTTCAGGCCTGCCCATGGATGGAGATAACCAGGGTGCTGGTGTACATGTGGGCTGGGAACACATCAGCTCTGGCAAGGGTGGGCTGTTCTCCTCTCTGAGCATGGCCAGCACTGGCCTTCTCTAGGCAGCAGAAGAACAACTAGGAAACAGCCAGGTTGGCTTTACAGTTCCCTAGACTTCAAGGCAAGAAAGATTCCTAGAGACATCTTTCCCTGCCTATACATTGCTGGCCATGTTAAGCCCCAGAACTTCAGCAAAGCTAAAGCTTCGAGGACTCTAAAACTGCATGTGGAAGCAGAGAACCACCAGCCAAAGGGGCAAGAAAAAATGATCCCAATGGATGTGCCTAAAAGCAAGAGACTCTCAGGTCTCCTCCACACAGATCAGGCTGGAAAAACTTCTTCTATCTTTCAAAACAGCTTTGAGCTGACCAGGCAGCAAGACCTGTGTGAAGGCCTAAAATGGGCTGTGCTGGAACAGGACAGGGGTTCAGCAAGGCCTCGTCTCACTACAAGCACTGAAAGCAACAGTGGCTTTACCCCAAGACAGAATCATGCCTAAGAGCCACCCATAAGCAACGTATCTCTTGTCCGAGGGTCTGGGAGCAGCAGGTCTACCCCTAGGTCTCTACTTCATCTCCCAAGCAAGTCAGTGATCTGCCTCTTTTCTGGAGTAAGGATACTGGCAGGATGGGAACTGTTGTGGCCACCCTCAACAGGGGTAGACTGGACTCTGAGTGCCTCCAGGAGAAAACATGTCTCTTTGGACCCATCTTGTGCCTTGACAAGCAGTATGAGCATTACTGAGAGGGGCTCAGAGAATGCACATGAAACAAGGACTTTCCTGGGGAAAATAAAAGACAGACTGCCTAAGGTGGGAGCTTTGCACAGCCCTTGAGGTATCCCCTAGGTACCCACTACTGGGCACAGAAGGAGCTGTCACCTCCCTGCTGCCCTGAGCACTGGGGAAGAGCCCACGGTCTCTGCCAGCCTGAGGAGCCTTGCAGAGAAAAGGCCCGTCTGTCCAGAGGGATAGTATCGCTCTTTTGCCACTGCCTGAGACATTAGAAAAAGGGAAGAGAAAACACAATAAACAATAAAAGGAAGTAGAAATGGGGGGAGGCAGAAGAGAAAGGCTGGGCAAAACAGAACAGGTCCCAAGCCGCAGACAGGCAGACCCGGAACCATTAGTTCCAATGTAAGCCTTGGCTTATCTGTTCCCTGCTGCACAGGTCACACCACTGGGCTCGGGCTGGATGGTCTGGTCAGCAGTACCAACCACACTAGGACTTGCTGGTGCTGTGCCATAAACTTTCAAGCCCCTCCAACCCAGGGGGATTCCATGGGGACAAGGAAAAGTAGCAACCTACCTGCTGCCCCATGTCCTCTGCTCCAGGCTGTTTCCTGCTGGTGTAGTTGCTTCCCAACTCACCAGCTTGTGATCCTTCTTGTAGACTCAGGCTTCCGTGAATATCTGATACTTCATCTGCTGACCCCAGTCCAGTCTCCTCCTGGCAGATGCTGGCTCTCTGCCCTCCTTCCTCCACAGGCTCTCCTGGGGTGCTGGCACTTGACCCTCCCAGTGCCCGATGGCCCACATGCTTCCTTTGGCGACTAGCACTCCCAAAAGCAGTGTCAATATTCTGCAATGAGCTTGCCTTCCCAGGCCCCTTGCCATCTGGTCTATTGCTGCGAGTACCCGAGTTGGCTGGTGTGTTTGGAGCTGGGGCATTTGAGTAACTCTGCTCTGTTCCTTTGCTGCTCTGTGCACCCTTCTGGACAGCTCCGTTCTGCAGGCCGTCCGTGGGGACAGTCCCATTGCGCGCACTCTCCTCACGGAGCCGTTCATTGCTGTGCTCTAACTCCTCTGTGCTTGGCTCCTTGCTGCCATCAGGTGGGGGAGCATCCTGCTGCTCATGGAAAGTGGATTTCTTCCCAATGTGTGTGACACGAAACCTAGAATGAGGGATGGTCAGGTAAAACTATCTTCCCCCCTCTCTCCCACCAATATTTCCAGCCTGCCCGTACTTCCAGCCTCTGATCCCCTTTCTTTAACACGGACCCATTGTACACCACTGACCATACCCTTCCAGGTTCTGGTAATTTCCTTCGCTATGTTATCAGCCACCTTTTAAACACGTTGACTGTGATTGCTAATGCACATCTTTCTCTTTTTAAGCATATGTGAATTTTTCAAGTATATGTGAATGCTGCCACTGTGCTCCACACCCCTTCCACTCCTATACACTTCACAGGCAACTGGCTTTTGAGCACCTTCAAACTGAACTGGCCCCAGCCCTGCCATGGCAACCAGCCTTGGCCCTGCGCTCCCATCCCAGAGTCATGTTCCCATTGACCTGAACCCATTTTTCTTTGATTTTGGCATGGCCTCTGAAGAAAGTGCAACAAATAGGAAGTGATGCAAAGCAAAGGATGCCAAGTCTAATCCAGACACCGGCTGGTGCAGGCCCCAACAGTCTAAGTCCTCCTGGCGATGAAATGGGTCACCTTTCTTGGAAACACTCCGAGATGCACCTTGGCCAAATAGGACCTTGTACAGAAACTCAGTTGTAAATTCAGCGAATCAGCTGAGTGGGGGAAGGAAGGAAGGAAGGGATGGTCATGTGGAAGCACATGGACATCATGTCCAGTGGCCAGCTGCTGTAAGTGGAACAAGAACCAGAGTCTTCAACAGTCTGTGCAGGCTGAGTAAAGGCAGGCAGGACCAGGGTTTTGGCAGGACATGCTGTATTTGGGTAGAGAGTCCAAAAGCCAGGAGGAGTTGTTTGGCTAAAATCTGCCAGAGCACATCTTGTGCACGATCCCTTGGAGTGACGGGTGGTATCTAAGTAGTTCACCAAGGCTCTCTGGTGTACCAATAAACCAGCCTGTGTTGGTTAGGAGAGGAAGGAGAGCTACTGCAGAAGTTGGTCTGACACCCACAAAGGATGCATTTATAATCCGAGATGATCGCAGTACTGCATGTGGGAAGAGAGAAGTTCAGGAACTACCATAACTTTGGAAGTGGTGACGTGTAGGCAACATGGGTGCATTCTAAATTGCAAGTGAGTTTGTTGTGACTGACAGTGATTCTTCTTCATAAGCAATGCAAATCACTGCTGGATCAGCAGACAGGAAATCTCCTCCACAGCGAGCTAGTGTCCATCAGCCAGAGAACACTGAACCCCAGCAGAAAATTCCTCCTGATGCAACATGTGACTCATTCAGCAACTGGTTCTAGCTGCACTTGAGTCACACATGGAGAAGCTACAGAAGACACTGGTTCTGCTGAAATTGAGCTGTGATTCAGTGTCTGGGCAAAATACTATTTCAGCAGCAATGTTCAAGCATTGCTGGGGTTGAAAGAAGAAGACCCAAATGTTAAGTGAATGGTAATATGACTGATGAAGAAGAAAGCTGACAGGATGGTCTTTGATGAGATGCCAGAGTTTACTGAGTGAAGGAGGCCACCACCAGACAGCACTGGGCTGCATAAAAAAACCCAGAAGTGGAACAAAGAAAGAGAAACAAGTGGATAGGCCAGCAAGTAGAGGACAGCAACAAGGAATATGGCTTCAGGAAGATGTTCAGGTTACTTGGTCACTGGCAGAAGTTCTTAAACCCTCAAAGCTGGATTCACTACATCAAAAACAGGGGAGGAGCAGGTCCTAAGCAGGTGGCCAGAATGCTGAATGGCCAAAACCATGAAATAATGTTGATATTACAGACTCCTCAGCATTACAATCAGAAATGCTGCCCAAATTAGAAAGGTCAAAGAGAGAACTGCTCCAGCTCTGGATGATGTACCCACAGGACTGCTTGGGTCAGGCCAAGCAGCAGCAAATATGACCTTTTAGGTCTATGCAGGCATTTGGAAACAAGGCAATAGCACTGTGATTTGAGAAGATCAAAGAGTGTTCCAGTCTCAAAGAGAGACTGGGAAGAGGTACAAATGACAGGATCACTTCTTGGTAATGCCTTTAAGCAATGCCAACCTGAAAGATCCAGGAAAGGATTCAAAGGATCCTTTGAATCAAAGGATACATGAAGTAACATAGCTCAGGATCACGATGAGAAAGGCAGCAGAATTTTGGCTGTCTGCCTAGTCAGCATCACCAAGGCTTTTGATTCAATAGGACTTGACACACTATAGCTGATGAAGCTCAGGACAAGATCTCCATCAGATGCAGATGGTTTGGTGGATAACCTACGTAACTAACAGCAGACAGCATACCAGCAGGAACAATCCTGGAGTAGTCTGCAGACAGGAATGGTATGAGAAAAGGGAAGACTCCTTTGATGTGGCTGTCCAATAGCACTGTAGAGGTGGCAAAGACAAAAGCATTGGAAAGTTTTAGGGAAAGTCCTAAGATAGTAAATTATTCAATAATTCGAGGCTACAGATGATATAACCCTGATTACCTTAGATTTAGAGAATGATTTAGATTGGAAAGACCCTGAGGAGGTCTCCAGTCCAACCCTTTGCTCAGGAGGTCTCCAGTCCAACCCTTTGCTCAAAGCTGGATCAATTTCAAACCTCAGTCAGGTTGCTCAGGGCCTTTTTCAGTTTGGTTTTAGGGATCTGCAAGGATGGAGATCTCTCCTCTCTTCTGGGCCTTGTCCTAGGGCTGCAACACTCTCAGGGTGAAATATTTCTTCCTTACGTCCTATCTGGATTTCTCTTGTTGCAACTTGTGATCATTAACTCTTGTCCTTGCACTGTGTATCTCTGAGAAGAGTCTAGCTCCACCTTCTTTGCAAACTTCCCCACCCCTTCAAGACGTTGTAGAGAGAAATTAGATCCTCACCTTAGCCTTCTCTTCTCCACAGTAAACAAACCCCATTCCCGCAGCAGCTCCTCATATGCCATGTACTCCAGCACCCTGACTACCCCGATGGCCCTCCACCGAATTTGCTCCTTTCCACATGAGGTTTCTTCACCTATGAGCTAGTGACTACCAGATGGGGACCAGACTTACTCACTAAGCTGTATGTAATAGGAGAGAGGACTGGACTCACAACTACTATATCCAAGACAGAAATGAAAGCTAAAAAGAAAGAGGAATAAGACCTGAGGATTGCAACAGAAGAGGCTGGTTACAGGAGCTTTTGTATGTAGGATCAGTTATGAATCAAGATAGTTCATGTAATCAAGGTATTCACAGGAAATTAGGCACATCAAGAGCACTCGCAGAAAAATCACTGAAGATCAAAAAGAACATGGGGTCAGCTTGGAAGCAAGAATCAGAATTTGGAGGTAATTTTGTACCTCGTGGTCACATAGACCCCATAGGAGTCAGACCTCATAGAATAGAGATTCAGCAAGCAAAAGCATTCAAAATATAACCTTGGAAAAACATAATAACCGTCCTCTGGAGAAGGCTGATCTGACACAGGATCTTAACAGGCAGAAAAGACTGAAAACTGAGATGAGACAGAAGGTGTGTTTAGGTAGGAGAGGAGACCGTCTTCTTCAGGCACTCAAATGTAACTGAAAGGAGACCAAGAAGAGCATGGATGAAGGACATGGAGCAGCAGAGGGAACTGAGCATCAGCCAGAGAATGAGATTAACCATGAATAAGCAAGTGTGCAGAGGTGTGGCTTACCAAACAACAAACCTTAAACGGAGTACAGCTGACAACAGCGGGCAAAGAGGCAGAAGCTGTCAGTCTCCAGGAAAGTGCAATTTCAGCTGGAGTTCAGCATGGGGAGGTCCTGCAGGTCTCTTCCCTTTAACAGCTCCCCATAAAACTCCCAATTCACCTATCACATAAGACTCCTAGTTCTGATGGAGGAAATACCCACAACCCCCAAAGGTTTGCCTGGCCCAATCGGGCTCAACATTACTATGAAAAGACTGTCTCTCTGGACCACAATATGCAGCTTTATCAAAACTTAGCTGAATGAAGACCCTCGGCATGCTCTGAGCACAGCAGAGTTGTGTCTTCTCTGGGTGGCCACCAGGAATTAGCAGTTCCTTGTAACTCTACCACGATCACCATGGCAGTGGGGAGCTGACGTCTGGCACACCTTGCTAAAGGACGACGTGCACTCTAAATGTTTACGCTGGGGAAAGAGGCAACCTGGGCAAGACTGTGGAAGAGAAATGTATTGAAGGCTACTAACTACATGGAGACCACAGGTAGCTCATGAAGTCCCTTGAGCTGAGAAAGTTGGAGACTGGGACAGTATCTGTGAGAAGTATCAGATATGTTCCCTTATTCTTATATTCCTCCCATGGCATCCATTTACAGCCATTATTAAAGGCAGAGTCCTGGAGGACTACAGCCACACTTTTATTCTGATGGTGGTGGCTGGCAATCTGCACATCGCACCTCCTCTCATCTCCTCTCCCTCCTAACCAGACCCCTGAAGCCTGGGGTCACTGCCCCTGCCTGGCAGGACTAGCTCTACTTGCATGTGACTGGGGCAGCAGGCTTTAAATAGATGTGTATTTGAAGCCCGGCACTGAGTCAGCAGGACAACCCAGGCCCAAGTCACCTTCCTTGGGAAAAGCAGGGAGAAAGGGGAGGTGTCATTAGTGCAAGACACTGGCACAGCATGGCTTACTGCATTTCTGCACGGACTCATTAGCAGGAGCTGTACTGCAGACATTCTGAGGGGCAGGAGGCACCTGGATCCTCAGGACTCTCAATTGTGAGCTACTGTGACCTCTAAATGGGGAAAAGCAAGAAGGTACCTCATGTGGGTGAGCGGGGAAAGGAACAGGGGGCAGGGAAGACTCTCTGTTATGCTCGTTCAGCCAGAGCAGATGAGTGATGTCTGGCAAGGCTCATTTAAGTACCTGCCCACTGAGAAGACAGTGGTCTCTCCAGGATGCATCCTGCCTTTGCCATCCTTGGACCTCCCTTGTCGATGCAGTGGCGGCTTCTTCCTCTTGCTGCAGTGGATGCAGGGGGCCTGCGTGGAGCCCAGGTGCACCGTATGGTGATGTGGTGGTCCCCCGTCTTGACTGTTACGGTGCGGACAAAGGCTGCAATAGGAAAAGGACATAGCAGGTCATGTCAGCTGGAGGAGTCTTCCCTACCTTGGTGCAGCCTCAGTGCAGCAAGCCCTGAGAAGCAGCAACTCTGGAGGGGACCTCCTGTTAGGACAGGAGCGAGAGATGTTACAACTGACAGTGGAGTAAAGCATAGCAACACCCATGCACCGGGGGAACTACAACTCCTTGTTGGGAAGATGCTTTGTAACAAATCATTGAGATGGAAAGGGGCTAGCTGAACAGTCTCAAGACCAAGGTGGTACCAAAGATGGCTCCCTTATTCTACAAGGGACACAGCATGGTGTACGCTTCCCTCACCTGGGCACTGGCACTGGGACATCCCCTTCATTGTCCCCCAGCATCTCCTTGAGAGCCTCCGCGTTTGCTGAAGAGAGAGGAGAAAGGGAATGTGTCAGGCAAAGCAGCCAGCTGCCAGGAAGTCTTCAAGCCAGCCCTAGAAAATGCTCACCTTCATTTTGGATGATGCATCTCACAATCTTCTCCACGGTGTCCTCGTTCAGCTCCTCCTCTTCATCTGAAAGGAGAAAACATGGCACTGAGGGATTCACTACCTCACCATTTCCTCCCACAGGACAACTATGAGTACTCTGGGTCAGTACAGATGGAGAGGTCACAGAAGCCCTGCTTCCCGCATCGTTCCCAGGAAGCATCTGAGGTACACTAGAGCTCTGACTCTGGAAAAGAAATGGCTAAAAGCACAGCCATGTGTGCACAGAGCAAGGGGCTATATTTTTCCTCCACTATGAGAGCTAGGGAGCATCAAACGAAATGAATAGGTAACAGGTTTGAAACAAGTATAAAGAGGTGGTTCTTCATGGGCACAGCTAAGCTCCTGGCTGCAGGAATGTTGTGGATGTTAAAAGTTTACCCGTGTCTAAGGATAAATGGGACATGTTCATGGAAGAGAAATTCACTGGGGGCTGTTAAATACATAGAAACCTTCTCTGACAGAGGAAGTCCCAGAGCTACACAGCGTTAGAGAATTAAAAGAGTATTCTGGAGAAATATCAGTACATGTTTGATCTGTTTTTGTATCCATAGACACCTGCTTTTGGACATTGTTGGAGACAGGAGACTTGGCTGGATGGACCTTCAGCCCAGCCTGTGATGCTGGGCATATGTTCTCATGAGTAGGTCAGAGCTCCGGTCTGGCAGGGCAACTCCCTGGAGAGCACACTTCTGGGGCTGCCACTGCGTTTCTGGACATCCCCAGAGACATTTCCCTGGGCTGTAGAGTCTCCAGTGGGCAAAACCAATTCTGAAAAGTTTGAACGTTGTCTCTATGTAATGGCAAGTCATTAAATCTGGAGGGCTGTACCAAAATCTGCCTGGAAGCTCCTCACTGCTTCCACATATACTCCGAGAGAGTTATGTTTCCCTCCCCTGCGTACTGAGTCCCAATGTGAGGTGCTAACCCTCCCAAGCTCTGCTGATGGGACAAAGGAGTCGGTGGAGTTTTCTAACACCATTTGGCCATCTTTAGTTAAATAAATAACCTGAGAAATGCATCTTCTCCATTTCAGCAGAGACTAAGGAAATCAGCAAATGACAGATCTCGCTAGGACCGAGCTGTGGCTTGCACCCATGCTCGATGCTGCCCTGAGTTCCAAACCCCATTCCCACAGAGCCACTTATGGTGGCCTCAGGTGACTGAAAACCCCTTGGAGGTCCCTTTCCCGCATGGGGCAAAGATCCCAAGGAAACGCCCCTCTTCCTCCCCGAGAGTCTCCAAACACACAGAACTAGAGGAGCATATGATCGATAACGAACACCCAAGAGCCTCTTTCTGGATGTCATAACACAAAAGAGACAGAGGGACAGCTTGTATCTCAGCTGGGTTATTTTTGCTGGTAGGGGACATGGGTTATAATTCAGATGCTGGAGATTCATCAGAGATTCTGGCTCTTATTCAGAATTATCACTTTACGATAATGCCACTCTGGGAACTGCCATGCGCTGATTTCCCACCCTCCCCGACACCACTAGCCTTCATAAGCCTTCTACCACCTCAGAGTCAACAATTCAGAGGGCTCTCTGGGACCTACGCTCCTGAGCTTCGCCTCACTGCCAACGTAAGAATGGCCCTAGAGGACTGGGCCAAAGCTCCGACTCTCCACCAAGAACCTCTTTTAACAGTAGCCAAACATGAAGGCCTAGAGAGTAAGAACAAGGCAAATACCCCATGATGCTGTCCCGAATACTCTCCTAGGACCTGGACCAGCATAAAACATAGCGTGGTGGAGGCCAAGCATGGTCTAAGGGGCTCTCTCCCTCTTGAGGATGGGGCAGGGCTAACAAGAGCCTGTCCCATCCTTCTATCCCATTAGCTCTCGTATGTTATGGCATGTTACAGTTTGGCTATCAAAGAGACCAAAGTCCCCAGGGAAAAAACAGCGGTGGTGGGAATGGCAGCCAAAAAGTGAAATGAGATAAAATGATAAAATCATTATGGCTGGCTCTCATGCTGTGTTTGGTGTCGGTGGATCATGGAGATCCTGGGGAAATCAGATACAGAAGCCCTTCACACCACGTGAAGTCCCATTCTCCCAAGCTGGGACCAAGTCCACCCTGCTGGGAGAGAGTATGGTGTTCAGGCAGCATTTCCGTTCTTCCCATCCCGCTGGCTGCATGCAGCCTTCATGCTCATGCAGGGAACGTGGTGCTGCTCTCACCATTTCATCCCTTTCCCAACCCACTGGTACATGACGGGTAACTCTTCCCACCACCAGCTCACTTCCGAGAACCCTGTTTAAGGAGCACGGCAGCACTAGAGCCCCTCCGCCAAGTCCTCATCTCCCAGTACTCACTGGCCTGGAGCTCCGTCAGCACGTCTTTGTTATCTGGGTCGAGCTCATCACGGAAAGTCCGGCACCGATACCCCTTCTTTTTCAGGACATGGCAGATCAGGAAACCTACTAGCCCCATGATGAAGAAGACCAAGACAAGGAGGAAGACCATAGACAGGCTGTGCTGGGGGTCTGACTCCCCATCATCGGTGCTGTTCTGGTCTGACATGCGGATCTAGGAGAAGGGGGAGGGCAGATCAGAGACCCTGGTACTCACCCCCCACCAGGCTCCCTGCTCTCATCCTCCTGACCCCCTCCCCCCCCCCTGCCATTGGCACAGCCCTGGCCCCAGGCCCTAGCTTGGAAAGAGCCTGCTCCCAGCTAGGGATGAGCTGGCAAGGACTCCTCTCTCGCTCCACAAGAGCTGGCCTGGCAGAGGGCCCTGCCAGCCCCTGTGCACGCAGGGGCAGCAAGGAGGAGAGGGCAGGCTGGACACAGCTCGGTGCAGTTTCCCAAGGACACCTCCACCCCACACGTACCCGGCAAGAGGCATCCCAAGGGCAGCAGCAGCAGCAGCCATGCAGGCCTGCCCAGCCATCCGGCCCTGAGCTGCTCCGGGTCTCTCTCCACT